CCCACATGCTGCGGAGCGGCTGGGCACGCGAGCCATGGCCGCTGAGCCTGCGCGTCCGGAGCCTGTGCTCCGCAACGGGAGAGGCCACAATAGTGAGAGGCCCCCGTAACGCAAGAAAAACAAAACAAAACAAAAAAACCTCTGTAGATAAACCATGTGCACCTTCTCGGCCTCTGTCCTTCAAGAGAGGCTGAAATATGGGCTGGAGGACACAGGGGATCCAGATGTGGGGGGGGTGAGGAGGGGCCCACTGACTGGTCTAAGGACTCCTGTTTACCCCAACCCCCCTTCCCATTATTACCCTCAAAAGATGTATGAAGAGTGAGGGCTTGAAAGGGTGGGGAGTGATTGCAGGAAGTCAAGAGAAGTTGAGGCAGCTCCTTCTCAGCCGGTCCCAGTCCTGGCATTCCCAGCTCAGAATGCACATCACGGACAACGTGAACGTGATTCCATTGGAATGTCAGCTCCATGGGGCAGGGCCTTGTCTGTTTTGTTCGCTATCGTGTCCACAGTACCTGGAGTAGTGCCTGGCACACAGTAGGTGCCCAGTATATATTTGTTGACTGATTGAATGAGTGAATAGATAATCTCTGGGACTTCAAATTCTGTGAGGACCAGCGCACAGACTTTCAAAGCAAAAGCACTGGATTGAGTAGATGCGTCACCATCTAAAATCAAGGGCCTCTATCAGGCAGAGTTCTCCCAGACCTCTCTGTGGCTGTTCCCTCCTCTTGTCCTTGGGCTTCCTGGGTTTAGTCAGTGAAGGTTATGATGCGGGGAGGGGTTACCTTCATCTCCACACGTGGCTGAGCTTTAGCCCTCATTGATCCTGCTTTTGTACGTTGCAGATCCAGACAATTCAACGTGGAGTCGTGATCCAGAAGGCCAGATACCACCCCAATATTCACCACTTGGACTTTTCTCCCGTCAAAGAAGAGAAGTAGGCACCCCAAACGCAAGCAACGTGTGAAGAGATGCTCCAGCTCGGAAGTGCTAATTGAAACAACAGGATATAATTATACACGTGGTAGCCTGGAAATCTGAGAAAGCTGGGTGATGACAGGTGTTCATGGGGACGTAGGGTCACAGGAACCTCAGACACTGCTGGTGGGAATATGGGTGGGAACGGTGATTCTGTAGGACAGCTTGGCAGGACTTGGGCAAATCAAGCATGTGCAGCCGCCTAGGACCCAGCAATTGTCCTCCTCGATACAATACCCCAAAGGATTGTTCTCACAGTCCAAAGGAACCGCTGGGGGAGTTGGCAGGCAAAATGGTAGATTCACACTGGAGAGTGTTCGCAGCAGTTAGAAGCGCTGTTTGTTCATGTAGCCACACAGATGGATCCTAAAAACACGATGGTGACTGGACAAAGTAGTGTATATTCATTAGAGTAAGTAAAACTAGCTGCTGTTGAGGTATCTTTGTGTTGATTGAACAGTTCTGTATCCTGACTGTGGTGGTGAATACATGAATCTCTACATGTGATAAAATTTCATAGTACACACACACACACACACACACACACACACACACACACACACATACACAAGTGCATGTCAAAGCTGGCAAAATATGAATTAGGCCTGTAGTTTAGTTAATAGATGGTACCAGTGTCAATTTCTTGGTTTTGATAACACCTAAGGTTAGGAAGAGCTGTGTGAAGGGTACATGGGAACACTATTTTTACAATTTCTTGTGAGTTTTTAATTATTTTAAATTAAAATGTTTCTAGTTTGAAATTTTAAATTAAAAACTATTTTTAAATTTTGAGCATATAAAATAATGGAATCATCTATTGTAACAGTTAGGCCCCCAAATCTCAGTGGTTTAACAAAATAATAGTTCAATTTGGGTGGGTGGGGCACTCTGCTCCACAAGTCATTTTGGTGCCCCAGGCTTTGTCCATCTTGGGGCCTCATTCCCCTCTAGCGCGTTCTCCAGTCAACCAGTGGATGGAGGTGGAGGATGGGAGGATTTTATGGGTCAGGCCTGAAAGCAACTCCCATCCCTTCCATCACATCAGATTCCATTGGGCAAAACTTGGTCACATGGCCACACCTAACTGCAAGGGAGGCTGGGAAATGTGGTCCAGCTGTGAGTCCAGGAGGAAAATGGGAACACAGTACTGGTGGTGGTCACTGACCATCTCTGCCACAGTAAGAAACAGGATGAGAATTTTGACACAATATGGTAGTCACAGATTTTAAATATATGAACCCCAAAGAGCAATACCCATTTTTAAAGAACACAAACAAACAAGCATATACACTTTAAATCCAGTAGAATGGTTGGCTGTAGGGGAAGAGAAAATAGATTTGGGAAAAGAAATAAACAGAAATAAATATATAAATATGATGATGACAGTGTGCCATAAACAGAAGACTGAGTAAGTTGGGCCTCTTTTCCTGAGATCCAACTTTTTATTTTTTTATTTTTGTACATTCTATAATGTACTTAGTATAGTAACATTGTCATACTTTTTTCTTTTTTTTTTTTTGGTTGTATTGGGTCTTTGTTGCTGCACGCAGGCTTTCTCTAGTTGCAGCAAGTGGAGGCTACTCTTCGTTGTGGTGCACGGGCTTCTCATTGCAGTGGCTTCTCTTGTTGTGGAGCACGGGCTCTAGGTGTGCGGGCTTCAGTAGTTGCATCATGTGGGCTCAGTAGTTGCAGCTCGCGGGCTCTAGAGCACAGGCTCAGTAGTTGTGGTGTGCAGGCTTTGTTGCTCCGCGGCATGTGGGATCTTCCAGGACCAGGGCTCGAACCCGTGTCCCCTGCATTGGCAGGCAGATTCTTAACCACTGTGCCAGCAGGGAAGTCCAAGACCCAACTTTTTAAAATGCCACAGTTTCTTAAATCCTCCATGCTCCCAATTCCTACCCTCAGCCCTTGTGGCTTTCAAAGGGTGAGAGTAGATGGAAATTCTCAAAGATCAAGACCCTACCTTCATCCCTAAGTCCTACAGAATCAGATCTGGCACCCAGCACAGGCTTAATTAATGCAGGCTGACCCAGAACCTTCTCCCAGGATTGTGTGTGACTATCATCAAATGTGTGGTCTCTCACAGGAGGACTGGGAACCCTGTGCTGGTGGGCAGTGGCTCCCTGACCTGATCCTCTCATCCCTGGCACCCCCAGCCTCACTTATTTTAGTTAATGGAACTTTTTGTACACCTTCCACCACAGGGCCTTTGCTTATACTCTTCTCTCCGTCTGTAACACTCCGTCTGTTATGTAAAGGAAGGATTTGGTTCAGCTGCATAAAACAGATACTCAAAATAGCATTGGTTTTATTAATATAGCAGTGTAGTTCTCTCTCATGTGAAATAAATTATGGTAGTTTGATTGCAACAATGGCTCCAATTCTCCATTCCCTATATCCATGCTCCTTGTAATGTGACTTTACAACTTCTCCCCTCAACAGGTGGAGTCTATTTCCTGCCCCCTTGAATCTTGACTAGTCTCATGACTTGCTTTGACCAAAAGAATGAAGTAGAAATAACAAAGCGGCAGCTCTGAGCCCGGGCCTCAAGAGGACTTGTGCACTTCCTCTGTCTCTCTCTTGAAGCCACCAAGCTTTGGGGATGTTTGTTACACAGCAATAGCTAACTGAAAAACATATCCCAGTCTGATCTTGTGGCTTCATGGTCACCAGAGATCCAAGTTCCTTCTATGTTCCTGCTCTGTTGTACCACGCATAACTTCCTTCTATAAATTTCCTCATTGTTCAAAATGACTGCTGGAACTCCAGCTGTTACACTCTTCTCACTCTCTTTGCCTAAATAATTCTGACCCACCTTTTTGATTCCAGATCAAACATCAGTTCCTCAGGAGAACATCTCTGAGGCCTAGACCATGTGCTCTCATTGGATCACATACCTTTCCTTCATACCACTTACCCCTGGCCCCAGAGTGGCTTGCATTCCACACCTGGCTATGCCACTTACTACTTGCATAACTTGGGCAAATGACTTTCCTTTTCCAGGCCTCAGTTTTGCCATCTATACAATGGGGACATTGAGAATTAAATGAAATAATACATGGTGTACATATCTGGCAATAGTAAGTGCTGACCAACTGGCAGGGAGAATGTTCTTTGCCAGCTTGAGAGGTAGAATAGTGCAGTGGGGAGGATAGCCAGCCTGGGAGGGTTCAAATCCTGGCTCTGCCCCTTAACTTTGGGCCAGTGTCTCTCTGTGCCTCAATTTCCCCATCTGTCAAATGGAGATGGTGATAATAGTATCTCCTTCCTAGGACTGTGATAAAGATGAAATGTGTTCACCATGTCGCAGGACAGCATCTGACCTTTGGTAAGCATTTCCTAAGTATTATCGTTATGAACTTCAACAGACCCATGAGGCTGATTAGCTGCTGAGGAAACGGGCGATGCTAGTCAAGGTTATAGTCAGTTTGTTAAGGATCTCACCACTGGGGACCGACTGGATTGTGGAGGAGGAGAGAAGGCCCCTGCAGATGATGAACACAACATCACTGAGCACTATGGCAACAGTTATCTCAGAGCCCTGGCCTGTCCCCACCGGCCTGTACTTGGCTTCCAGGCAGGAGGCCAACACGTGTGCATAACCTGGCATTCCTGAGAAGCTATCAGACACACTCTGATCAAAGGGCCACCCAGGGCACTCACCTGCCGAACAGGTGTCAACCATGCTTGGACGGAATGACTGGGGTGAAACAGGGCCTCACCTCACTGAGTCTTGGTTTCCTTTCCTGTAAAATGGGTGTAAATCCCGCAACTCTACAAGGCTTCCTTGAGGATGTAATGTGATTGATCTCATAGGACCCTTGGCAAACAACAAGAACAGTGTTGCTGATATCAAGAGATGCCCCCTTCTGATTTGTGCCTATTCAGTTTGGGATCAGACACATTACTTCCTCTGGGAGTCTCCCAGATCCCTCAGGGCTGTGGTAGTGAGCCATTGTCACCTTGTCATTACATCCTTGACTTTGTCCTGCCAGATTACAAGCTCCCCAGGCATGTGCTGGGTTCACTCACTGCGGACCCCCTAACATAGTAAGAACCCAATATTTGTTGAATGAAAATTATGTTTTAGGCTCTCTGGGGATTAAACTCATATGGACCAATGAATATTTTTTTTAAAAAAACACAAAAAACCATGGGGTTCCCAATTAACAAATGGGCAAAAGATCTGAACAGCCTACTTCACTAAAGATGATATACAGATGGCAAATAAGCACATGAAAAGATTGTCAATCATTAGTCATTAGGGAAATGCAAATTAAAGCCATAGTGGATGCCCACTAGCTCCTATTAGAATGTCACTGGATAAAATTAAAAGGACCAACCATACCAAGTGTTGACGAGGTTATGGAACAACTAGAAATCTTATTCACTGCTGATAGGAATGTGAAATGTTACAACCACTTTGAAAAAGAGTTTTTCAGCCTCTTTACCCTCCTAGGTATTTACCCAGGAGAGATGAAATCATGTTTCCATACAAAAGACATATAAAGCATGTTCGTAGCAGCTTTATGGGTTAACAGCCAAAACCTGGAAATAAATCAAATATCCATCAGCAGATACATGGTTTAAAAAACTGTGCTTATAGCCATACAGTTGAAAACTTCTAAGCAATGAAAAGGGATGATTTACTGATACATGCAATAACATGTGTGAATCTCAAAATAACTATGCTGAGTAAAAGAAGCCAGATAAAAGAGTACATACTGTGTGGTTCCATTCAGCTAAAACCCTAAAACAGCAAACGACTTATAGGGACAGAAAGCAGATCAGTTGTTGGCTGGGGTGGGGCTGTGGAGAAGGGCAGGAAGGAGGGATTACCGCGGAGCATGAGGACACGCTTTGGGGTGATGGGTATGTTTATACCATCTTGATTGTGATGATGGTTTCACTGGTATTTAGATACATCACAACCTCCCAGGGTGGTTGAGTACGACGTCATTTCAAACACTGAGTTGTAAACTTGATAGAAGGCAACTTGGCCGTGTGTATGAAAACGCCATGAAATTTACATTCATTGGTGACCCGTTGATTCTACTTCCGGGAATATTTTCCAATCATAGACGTGTACAAAGATAGAGCTACAAGGGTGGACATCATAGCCTTATTCCTTTTTTCTAAATTGAGATATAATTGGCGTATAACATTGTATTCGTTTTCGGTGTACAACATACAGATTTGATATACGTATATATTGAAGAATGAATTTGCAGTAAGCTTAGTTAACATCCGTCACCTCACATAGTTACAATATTTTTCCTTTTTTAATTAAAAAATTTTTTTTAATTTTAATTTTTTAACATCTTTATTGGAGTATAATTGCTTTACAATGGTGTGTTAGTTTCTGCTTTATAACAAAGTGAATCAGCTATACATATACATATATCCCCATATCTCCTCCCTCTTGCATCTCCCTCCCACTCTCCCTGTCCCACCCCTCTAGATGGTCACAAAGCACCGCGCTGATCTCCCTGTGCTATGCGGCTGCTTCCCACTAGCTATCTATTTTACATTTGGTAGTATATATAAATCCATGCCACTCTCTCACTTCATCCCAGCTTACCCTTCCCCCTCCCCGTGTCCTCAAGTCCATTCTTTTAGATTCCATATATATGTGTTAGCATACGGTATTTGTTTTTCTCTTTCTGACTTACTTCACTCTGTATGACAGTCTCTAGGTCCATCCACCTCACTACAAATAACTCAGTTTCATTTCTTTTTATGGCTGAGTAATATGCTATTGTATATATGTGCCACATCTTCTTTATCCATTCATCTGTTGATGGACTCTTAGGTTGCTTCCATGTCCTGGCTATTGTAAGTAGAGCTGCAATGAACATTGTGGTACGTGACTCTTTTTGAATTATGGTTTTCTCAGGGTATATGCCCAGTAGTGGGATTGCTGGGTCATGTGGTAGTTTTATTTTTAGATTTTTAAGGAACCTCCATACTGTTCTCCACAGTGGCTCTATCAATTTACGTTCCCACCAACAGTGCAAGAGGGTTCCCTTTTCTCCACGCCTTCTCCAGCATTTATGGTTTGTAGATTTTTTGATGATGGCCATTCTGACTGGTGTGAGGTGATACCTCATTGTAGTTTTGATTTGCATTTCTCTAATGATTAATGATGTTGAGCATTCTTTCATGTGTTTGTTGGCAATCTGTATATCTTCTTTGGTGAAAAGTCTGTTTAGGTCTTCTGCCCATTTTTGGATTGGGGTGTTTGTTTTTTAGATATGTGAACATATTTTAACATAAATAAATGTTCAGCTCTAATTTTACTCCTCATATTTGCAAAATATTCCATTTGCAACGTATATTTTCACAAATACTCTATTTAGGTAGTTTCCATTACTTTTTCTTGCTATAAACAATACTTTTATGATTAGCCCAGAAGTAACTATTTTCATATATCTTGAATGATTGTCTTAAGATAACTATAAGAGGCATTGTGAGTTCCAAGAGCATGCACATTTTCCTGTCTTTGGACACACCTTGCCTGATTGCTCTCCAGAAAGCTTGCCCCAGTGTACACTCTCCTTATTCTTGCCAGTACTGGATGCTATCATTTAAAAATTCTAAATCAGTGGTTTTCAAACTTATTTTTTCCTTTGTTTTCTCCCCTACTGATCAGGTAATAATATTTGTCAACCCTCTCTGCAGCTTCACCTTGCTTCCCAAGCAGGCTTGCATCCTTGGAAAACCCAGTGTCAAGGTGATTTGAAAGCAAGTTTTTTTGTTTTTTGTTTTTTAATTTATTTTGGCTGTGCCGGGTCTTAGCTGTGGCACGTGGGATCTTCAGTTGCAGCATGTGGGCTTCTTAGTTGTGGCATGCATGCGGGATCTAGTTCCCTGACCAGGGATCAAACCCGGGACCCCTGCATTGGGAGCGCGGAGCCTTATCCACTGGACCACCAGGGAAGTCCCAATTTGAAAGCAAGTTGCTTCCCTTGTCATCTCTAGGCCTTTGAACCTGGAAACTGCTGCCAGGCAGAATCTGAGGCGAAGAGGCCACCTTTACCTTTATCTTGTTATCACTTGTTCTGGTAAGCTCCTGTGCACGTCCTTCAAGGCTGTCCAATGTCATCACCTCCATATCAGGCTGCAGGCGCCTAGGAAAAATTAACCCTGAGATCAGGCTTGTGCCAACAGTGCTGCAACGCCATGCGGGGCCAACACTACATGCCAGCCACACCAGTGGTACCTCTGGGACGCAGTGGACCTCTGGGACAACGGAGGCTACCCCGCCTGCCCTGGGGGCACAAGGCCACATGCCTTGTCAGCAAATGCAGTGTCAAGCTGCTCTTTCTGACCTCGGCAGTGCTGGACCTAGGTAGCTGGGATGTTGCAGAGCCTAGAGGAATCTACAGAATTGATGAGACCCCAGCCTGTTGCGAGTGGACCCTGCCTTGCCCTTTCCAGGTTCCCAAACCCCCAAGGCCCTGGGGTACTTCTAACTCTTACTGGGAAATCTGGGGTGAACAGGGCTGGAACTCGGGGAGCAGGACTGATGAGCTCTCTTTGGGGATGAGGGAAAACCAAGGACCCTGCAGGGGAGAGGGGCTTCTCAGACACTCTGGCGTTTCTTCTAGGCCTGGACTCTTTGACCGAGGAGACAGAAGGACATCATGAGGCCATCAGACCATTGAGGCATCAGGAAAACATGGCTGGCCCCTGGGAGGGTCCCTGCAGAGGTGGTGGGCTTTGGAAATGGCTCTGTCTCACAGGTAACAGCTACAAGACCATAATTCCTGATTCTCTTCCCCAAGCTCCTAAGTCCCCCTGCATCTTCATGCCTCGGGTATGGCACCTCCATCCTCTCAGGTGCTCGTGCCCCAAACCTCAGAGCCATCTCTCACTTCAGTCTCACACTCACACCCCACATCCTATCTGCCAGCAAATCCTATCGGCTTCAGATTCCCAATCTCACCATTTCTCAGTTTTATTGTTGCAACCACTTTGGTCCAAATCACTCATGTCTCTTGCCCGGATTGTTGCAGATACTTCCTAACTGGTCTCCCCTGTTTCTGCCTTGCCTGGAGTTGCCACGTACAGCTGCATGAGTTGTGCACTGCACCAGTGCTGGCAGTACTGTTTGCGTTAACTGTAATGTGAATGGCATTTCACTCTGTGGAGCTGAGTAATGTAGCAGCTCTACCCTCAGACTCCGAAATCAATTCACTCTGCAGCCAGAAGGATCATTTCAGAGCAGAAGGCACATCATTGTTACCCCTTAGCTCAGAAGTCTCCAGTGGTTTCCTAACTCTCTTGGAACACAATTCTTAAAATGGTCTACAAGTGCCTAAATGAATTGTTCCCAACCAGAGCTAATACTGCCCCACTGGTGGGTATTTGACAATGTGTGGGGATGTTCTTTGGTTGTCTCAGTGCCTTGGAGGGAGGGTCAGAGGTGCTGAACTACTTGCAATGCACAGGACAGTCCTACATGATGAAGGACCGTCTTGCCAAAAATGCCAGTAGCATCCTCTGACCTTATCTGCTTCCCTCTCTCTTTTTCACTCAGTTCCAGGCCCACTGATCTTTCTGCTGTGCCCTCAAAATAGCAATCTTACTCTGCCTTGGGACCCTGGAGCATGCTTTTCCCTCTCTAAATGTCGAACTCCTATGAGTGAGAATCTAAGAGGGGCTGATTTTAGTGTTGAATGTGGCTAAGCGTCTCCCTCCTCTGTCTGCCTTCTTTCTGAGCTCCTGCTGCAAGCAGGTGTCTGCCCAGTTGACCATCACCTCCATCCCTCCCCGGGCCTTGGAAGGGAACAACATTGCCCTACCTATCCAGGGGCGCCCTTTGAATCTCATCTCCTACAACTGGTTCTGAGGAGCAACCACTTCCCAGTATACCCGGATCCTTAATTTTAAATTCACCACCCATGGCCACACTCCAGGACCAGCCCACAGCAGCCGGGAGACGGGCAGTGCTGATGGTTCCCTGACCATCACTGATGTGCGAGTGTCAGATGACGGAATCTACACCCTGCAGCTCATCTCTGTGGATGGGACCAGTGGCCGTTATGCTATGCTACTTGTCTCTAGTAAGAGCATTCCTGGCGGTGGGGGTCGGGGTGGGAATGCTCTCTGGTGGCACAACTGGCAATTGTAAGCATTTATTAAGCGCTTTCTGTGTACCTGATGCTATTCTATACCCTCTGGAAGTAGGAGGTCATGGGCCCCTCACTACAACTTTTAGACTAGATTATGAACAGGGAAACTGAGGTTCGAGGATGCTTAACAACATGGCCAGTGGCACCTGTGGAGCTGGGATTTGAACCCAGTCTCTGCTTAACCCTAAAGCCCGTGTTTTTGAATACTGCCTCAAAGTGTTATTACACATAAGTAATATAATATTACACCCTCTCCTTTATTAAGGTAACACACTCTTAACATGTTCTTTTTCTGAGGAGTTATTTTGTATCATTCCCTGTACTAATACTTAATTTTACATAATTTACCTTCATGATCTCATTTCATCTTTGCAACATCCTTATGCCGTAGGTACCATTCCCCCCACTTTGCAGATGAGAAAATGAGACTCAGGAAGAGTAGTTACTTTTGTCTGTGTCCACAGGGCCCCAGAGAGTCAAAGGTGACTCACTCGGGGGAAAGCCAGGTCTCTGGTTGCCAAAGCCCTTTTCTCTCTCTGAAGGCCATTTTTTTTTTTTTTTTTTTTTGCGGTACGCGGGCCTCTCACTGTTGTGGCCTCTCCCGTTGTGGAGCACAGGCTCTGGACACGCAGGCTCAGCGGCCATGGCTCATGGGCCCAGCTGCTCCGCGGCACGTGGGATCTTCCCGGACCGGGGCACGAACCCGCGTCCCCTGCATCGGCAGGCGGACTCTCAAGCACTGCTCCACCAGGGAAGCCCTGAAGGCCATATTGATCCATCATCCTAGTTAGTAACATCGTCACACCAACACTGACTGATCACTGTAGGTCACTTCACCTACACTGAACATACTGAACATTGCATATACTGAACATGAATACATATACGTTTAATCTTTTCAGCAACCATACAGAATAGGCTTCATATTATCTCTTTTTACAGAAGAGCCAACGGACACACGGAGTGGTTAAGTAGCATGGCATGGCCAAGGTCACACAGCTGAGATGTGAACTTAGGCTGTTTGACTCCAGAAGTGATTCTATTACTACCACAAACTTCAGCTTCCCAATGGCTGGAAAACAAGTGCTCATCAAATTATCAAGTGGAGATAAAGCCACAAACTTGGGAATCGGGCTGGGGACAGGGATGAGGGTGTGTCATGCCCAGGTCCTGATTCTCTCTCCTTGTCCAGGTCCCGGGTCATCCCTCTCTGAAGGGGCCATCGCTGGCATTATCATCGGGATCCTGGCTGTCACTGCTGTGGCCACAGGGCTGGGCTGTTTCCTCTACATCAGAAATGCCAAAGGGTAAACCTGGGAATGGGATATGGGGTGTGGCCCACAGGGGACCTGACTGGCAGAAGTGTTGCTGACCTTGGTGCTGAGCGGCATCCATGGCACGTGGGGAATTCAGAGGGTTTGGCGCATTGCCCAAAATGTACATGGGGATATGGGCGGAGCATCTGCAGATGGGCAAGGACTAGAGACACAGAAGAACGAGGGTCTTGGGTTTTCAGCCCCTCAAGGAGAACAACAGAGGAACCCACCTATGAGGTCACGACACCCACCTCTGAAGAGC